CTCTCTCTCTCTCTCTCTCTCTCTCTCTCTCTCTCTCTCTCTCTTCACCTCCCTCCCTCCCTCCCCTTTTCTTTCTTCTTTCCTTTCTTTCTTGTCTGATTATTTATTTGTTGCTCTTAAAGACTTAATTTTGACTGGACTCAGAAGCAGAAACTCTTAGTGAGCTTACGTATCTTAGAAATTTGCTCCTGGCGTTTTTCTTCCGCTTCCTTCATTCTCTTGTCCAAAAGTTTAGTGTATTCAACAGACTTCCCGTTTTCCCCTAGTGTCTGTACGAAGTTGTACTCATTGTCCACTTCACTGAGTTTCTAACAGCAGATGGCTAGAAAGATATTCAACTTCATCTCAAACAGGTCTGAAATTCACGTCTACTCGTCTTTCAACTAGCGGCAATTCTCCCGCCTCAGCTTTCCAAATACTGAGATTACAGGCACGCGCCCCTCTGCCTGGCTCGAAAATGCCATTATAAATCTTTCCTAAGTACAGTAATACAAGGAGTGAATAAGACATAAGCTTTTCTCAAATACAAAATAAAACAAACAAAAGATTGAGCCACCACCCCAGCATTTTAGTGTAAATTCGGGCAATAACGCGGACTTAGACTAAAATAGTAACTATTTTGTGCCTCGTAACCCCGTGTCCAGAATAAGTCACTCTACAGATTTCTCTAAAACCAAACTCAGAGAGGTGGCTCACTCGTGCGGCAGAGACAGTAGGTTCGACGTAAGTTCTGGACAGAACCTGTCTCTGCAAGCCGGTAAATAACTTAGCTGGGCGAGGCGAGGCAGCGCTAGCCCGGCATGGGGGGGAGGCGGAATCAGGTGTTCATGGTGGTGCAGGTGAATTTGAGGCCACGTGACTTTTGCGCTTCCCTATACCAAGACTCCTAATGTCACTGAGGGCAGGCTTCCCTACGCCCCTATTTGGAATCTGCTTCACAGTTCCTACTTCATCTCCAGGTTTATACCATAAATCATCTTCCCCCACCACGTCGTACTCTCCAGAAAGCCGCAGCCAAGCGAACCTTAGCAGACACTGGGAGTTCGAGCTCGCTTTCCCAAGGGTCTGATCGGAACCTGGCGGGGGTTGCGGATTGGGGGAGGTGGGGGGCAGCACTAAGCATCTCCAAGGCTTGAACACCGCTAGGCGCAGTGACTAATAGTGAACGCTAGGGGGCACCCGAGACCCACGAAACTCAAGCCATTAGGCTAACTAAATGGTATCAAACACTAAGTTTTCTTAAAGGGGGTGAATGTGTGTCTTTATATGCAGCATTTTAAATAGACCACATTCTGAATTTTTACTTGTTCGCTTTTTTGAGAGTAACATATAACGCAGGCTAGCCTCATAGCTGAGAATGGCACTGAACTGTTTCTCCTGTTTCCACCCCTCAGCGGTTCCCTGGGAATAGAGGCACTCACTGCTAGGCTGTGTTGTGCTGGGGGCTGGGCTATGCCCAGGGCTTCATGCGGGCTAAACAAACGACTAAATGAGCGCACCTCCAGCTATTTATTTCTCTCTGGTAGAACTTTTTGTGTTGTCCTGTGTTTCTTTACTTAGTTTTCTACATGAGAGTCACTGATCTGGTTAGACTGTTGAATTCCTTTTTAAAGCAGTCAAACGCGTGATCAGAGAACAGTTGTATTGTTTTGTTTTGTTTGTTGTTCCCAGCTGGAGGCTCCCTTCCAGAGCTTCCTGCTATAAATCTGGGTTGGCTGTTCCGCACGCCCACTGCCCTGCGCATCTCCCCAGCTTCACCCCCAAGCTTTGAATCCCATTCCTCCTTGCCTGTGTTGGCTCTCCTTCCTATCAATCCAGGGTCTTTCCTCCCTTGTTTACTTTCCTTTGGACTCTGGACATCTATTATCCATTGGCGGCTCCTGGAAAGTGTTGAGTCCTTGCTTGTCTGATCACGTTTTCTTCTGTCCCCCACCAGACCAACAACTAGAGAATTCTAGAATAGAGACCACTGCCCCTCAGCAATCAAAAGACCACACTCTTGTCTTAGGACCTGTGAAATGTCCCATATAGAAACTGAACCCCTGCTTGTTAATTCTTGGGTGGGGATGGGGAGAGAAATGGAAAGCCGAACGGGAAATTGGAATTTAAATGTTTTATCACACATGTGTTATATCAAAACTGTTAGAGAATAAAAACGAAAAGTAGGCCAACAGAAAGGTTTTGCAGATGTTGTTTCTAACTTGCTAAAACAAATCAGTTGTTCAGGGACCCGTTTGAAACACGCTCCTCCCTAAAACATGCACACTGTCAAAAGTCTTTTTGCACAGTTTCTTCTGAATGTGGCAGAAGCACAGGGAGTTAGAAGCCATGGACTACTCTCTGAGCCCAGGGACCACCAGTAGGTGACCTTAACAAAGCCTTCTGCCACTCTGGGACTCCAACAACCGGGCAATGGCTTCTGCAGCCCAAGTCAGCTAAGTGCTTCTCTCATTTACCTGAGTAATTGGCTCAAGGGTAAAGCTTGTCCTGCATCCTCAACACTGGCATAAAACCAGGCTTGCCCCTAGCCAGACAGGAATATCAGGGAAGTGGCAGGTGCAGAAGCGCACTGGTTTTGGACAAACATTTATTGAGCATTTGCTGTGCAAAAGACCTCTCAGGCCTCAGGCAAAAGTCAGCAAGAAATTGGGTAAAGCCCCAGAGACGTCTCATTTGTCCTCACTGCAGCCCCTTGGGATGAGGATTTTTCAACTTCACTTCACAGTAACAACAATTTAGGGGGCCGCGTTTGATGGTGTGGGCCTTTAATCCCAGCAAGTGGATCTCTATGAGTTCAAGGCCAGTCTGTTCTACATAGTGAGTTCCAGGACAACCAGAGCTACGCAGAGAAACCCTGTCTTGATAAACAAAAACAAAAACAGACATCCCTGCCGTAAATAAATAAATAAATAATGTAGGATCTTGACCACACTGCTTTTCATTATATCCCTAATGCCTGCAGCAGTGCTTGTAGCAAACGAATGTTTGCCGAAAAAGTGAAACGTTTACATAACAGTCGCTATAAACCCCCGCTGGTAGATGCTCAACAGTAGGTGTTGGCACAGAACAGGTGCCAAGGGGTGTTGCAGTTAGTTAAAGCCCAAGGACGTGGTTCATGCATCAGGTTTCAAATCGCGACATTCTCAGGAGAGCTGGGAAGAGTCAGCCCCGTCAAGGTCGCCTACGCACTACATTAAGAAACTGTACTTAAAGGAGAGAGGGGGAGGGAGAGGGACAGAGGTTGCTTAGCGACCAAACTGAGGCGGCTGGCCTCACTGCGCATGCGTGAAGAGACAGGCGCTGTTCTCTTTTGCGCATGTGTGGGCGGCAGTCTCCGGCCCAGTGTCCCCCCCCCTCCCCCGCGGGGGGGGCGGTATGGCGGTTGCTAGGGCAACAGGAATACAATATGGCGGACGGATCCTAACGCTCTCCAGAGGGACCCCCGCGTTGGTCCACGAGCCGGAAGCCGCCTCAGGAAAGCAGAAGGCCGGTACCACAGTCTCGTCTCTTTTCGGCCCGGGACCGACCAGGGACTGTCGCCGTCATCCGCGTTCAGGATGAAGAGTGAGTGGGGCTGGGGAAGGGCCGAGGGTCCCCGGGGCCTGTGTGGCGGCGCCGCGCTGTGACCGCTCCGGAGCCGCTCCGGCTCAGGCACCTGGGGCAAGGCGGTTATTCTGGAGCTTGGGCACTTGAGTGTGATTTCATTCATTCGTTCGTTCGTTCGTCTGTGTGTTTGGTCGCACCTGAAATTCTCAGACCTTCGGCTGTGGGCTCTGAGCGCTCACATTGTGGCTCCCTGCCCTTTGCGGACAGCGGCTGAAAAGGCATTCACGATCAAAGCTGTGTCTTACTTTTTGAGTTAAGTTAGTGTTTTTGAAGCAATCTTTCAGCAGAATTTAAAACGGTCTCTTAGAAGTTGGGAACCGAGGCAGTCATTCTAGAAAATAGAAGGAGTGGAAAAAATTGACTTATTTGGGGGTTTGTGGGTAACTTAAATCCGAGTGCGACTACTAACTAGGTTGGCTTTGTTGGGACGGCTGTTTGGTTTGCACAGCTTATACAGTTATGATTGCCTTTTATAGTTGTAGCCAGAGGTGCAGAAAAATTACAGTTCCTTTTGCTAGTAAGATTATATTATGCTGTTGTAGTTATAATATTAAATATACATTATATATTTTGATTACCAACAGTAATTTCTATGTACCATGAATTACATAATATTTAAAAAATAAGTGATCTCACTAACCCTTTGTCATGCATTTTCATTTCTTCTCTCCAATAGTGTTTATATGGTTATCACTTTGTTTTAGGGGATTTTCTTTGAAAACAGGATCTCATTTAGCCCAGGCTGACCTTGAGCTAGATATGTAGCTGAGACCGACTTTGAACTCCTGATCCTCTTGCCTCCATATTTCAAGTGCTGGCATTACAGGCTGTGCTACCAAGTCCAGCATGGTTGTCATTTTCATTAATGCCTCACAAAGCTGCAATTAAAATGCACAGCCTACAAACATCTTTATACTTTTACTTAATAATGCACACTTATAGACACGTGTTATTTATATATTCATCTTTTCCTTCCCAAGTATTTCATTTTCAAATGTGCAGAAGAATTAAGACGGTACCCTGCATATTTCTAAGTCTTTTCTTTAGTTTGTCTTATTTTGCATGCTCATTTTGCTCTGGTGTTCCTTGCTCAATTGACAGATTGGTTTCTTTCCACTGAGTTAGTTGTAGACATCATCACATTTCACCACCACTAATACAGCAAGTGTATGTAAGGTCCAGGGACTTGAGGCTAGGGAGATGGCTCAGTGGGTAAAGTGCTTACTCTACCAGTATGAGAATTTGAGCTCCGTCCCCTCTGACTGCCAGAAATCCAGAGGCAGTAGCACCTATCTGTAATTCCTGTACTCTTCCAGCAGGATGGAAGGTGGAGACAGGAATCCCTGGGAGCCTAAGAGCCTTTGTGTTGGCTACTCAGAAGCAAACAAGAGACTCTTTCAAACAAGGTGGAAAGTGAAGACCAACACCTGAGGTTTCCTGTGACCTCCACACACATAGCATGGCATGTGTGTGCCTGTGAACATTCATTTCCCTCACACAGAACGAAGGCATTCCCTACATAGTCACATTGCCACATGCTGATACACACATTATTCATGTGCAGATGTATTCAGAAAATGGGACAGCTCACTACAACTGTTACTCAATATACGGTTCCTATTTCAGTCTTTTTCATTAACTCAGGAATTGTCCGTTATGGTTATTTTGTTTCCAGAATCACAAATTATTTTTTGGTGTCATATTTCTTTGGTTTCCAAATTTGGATTCAGTTGATGGTTTTCTCATGATTAGCTGTAGTTTAATTAGGTACCTTGTAAGTCGTATGTCAGGTGATATGTCTCCTTTCCAGTGTTTCCTCCAGAGTACTTGGTGTCAGCTGATGTATTACTGGCTAGAAGTGATCATTTGAGCATTTTGTTTGCCCTTCATTCCTCCTGGACCCTTTGTGTTCCAGGCTCTAGAGATGACCACTCTCACCATGTCCTGTGTATGCTTGTATGTGTGGGTATCAATCCCTCTATTAATTTTATTTTTAACTTTTCTGCTTTTAGTTTTATTGTTGATTGAGACAGCCCTGGTTGGCCTAGAACTCACTGTGTAGACCAAACTAGCCTCAAAGTTGGGGCACTCCCTCTTCCTCTGCCTCTTATACAGTCTTGTGCCACTGTATCCCTCCCTTTAAGAAAGATTACTGCCGGGGCTGGAGAGATGGCTCAGTGGTTAAGAGCACTACTGCTCTTCCAGAGGGCCCAGGTTCAATTCCCAGCACCCACATGGCAGCTCACAACTGTCTGAAGATCCAGTTCCAGGGAATCTGACACCTTCACACCAATGCACATAAAAATAAAATTAAATAAACCATAAAAAATATTTAAAAAAAAAAGAAAGATTACTGCCGAGTGATGGCGCACACCTTTACTCCCAGCACTCGGGACACAGAGGCAGGTGGATCTCTGTGAGATCAAGGTCAGCCTGGTCTACAGAGTGAGTTCTAAGATAGCCAGGGCTATTACACAGGGAAACCCTATCTAGAAAAAAAAAGGGGGGAGGGAGGGAAGGAAGGAAGAAGGAAGAAAGAAAGACTACCTTTATACTCAGAGACAGAGGTAGTCGAATTTCCTTGAGTTTGAGGCTAGCATGGTTTACATAGTAAGTTCCAGGGCAGCCAAGGCTACACCCTAGAGAGCTACTGTCTCAACAAACAAAACAAATCAAAACAGAACAAGTCATATGCAATAATGTGTACCTGCAATCCCAGCATTCTTATTGTGGGATTGGGGGCAGAGATAGAATATTCTCAAAAAGCGTGCAGGTAAACACAAGAGACCTTGCTACAAATAAGGTAGAAGGCGAAGGCCAACACCAGAGGTTTTCTTCTCAGCTCAGCTATGATGTCCTCTCTCTCTCTCTCTCTTTCTCTCTCTTTCTCTGACACACACACACACACACATACACACACACACAAGCACCATTTATACACACTTAAAAAAGAATAAACAAAAGCTCAGAAAAGTTAAAAACAGATAAATGATAAAATGCAAATTATATATGCAAACTTAATCTTTAATTTTTTTTATTATACATGTGGCTGTTTTGCCTGCATGTCTGTCTGTGCACCATGTGTATACAGTGTCTGGAAAGGACAGGGATCCTTTAGAGCTGGAGTTACAGTCATTTATGAGCCACCACATAGGTGTTGGGAGCCAAATCCCAGTTCTCTGCAAGAACAGCCAGTGCTCTTAACCATTGAGCATCTCTCCAACCATATTTAACAGGTTTTTTTAAATATTTATTCATTTATTATGCATACAATATCTGCCTACATGTGTGCTTGCAGGCCAGAGAGGGCACCAGATCTCATTACAGATGGTTGTGAGCCACCATATGGTTGCTGGGAATTGAACTCAAGACCTTTGGAAGAGCAGGCAATGCTCTTAACCACTGAGCCATCTCTCCAGCCCCCAACAGGTTTTTTTTTTTTTTTTGAAGTATAACTTGTCAGCTACTCAAATGGCAATTTGACTTTCTAACCCAGTGGTTCTCAACCTTCCTAATGCTGTAGTCCTTTAACACAATTCCTCATGTTGTGATGATCCCCCCAACCATAAAATTATCTCATTGCTACTTCATAACCAATGCTATGGGATCTTTACATTGTAAAGATTTGTCACCCAGATTAGTTTAATAAAACGCTAATTGACCAGTAGCCAGACAAAAAGCATAGGATGGACGACCAGACTAAGAGAATTCTGGGAAGAAGAAAGGCACAGAGTCAGTCACCAGCCAGATGCAGGGGAAGCAGGATGTGAGTGCTCTACTGAGAAAAAATACCAAGTCACGTGGCTGAACATAGAAAGAGTTATGGGTTAATTTAAGTTGCAAGAGTTAGTTGATAATAAGTCTGAACAACAGATCAAACAGTTTGTAATTAATATAAATCTCTGTGTGTTTATTTGGGACTGGATGGCTGCAGGACCAGGCTGCTTGACCAGACAGGACAGTAACTTCCATCTACAACTATAATTTTGCTATTGTTATGAGTTGTAATGTAAATATCTGCTATGCAGGATATCTGATATTTGACCCCCAAATGGGTCTTGACCCACAGGTTGAGAACCACTGTTCTAATACAGTACAGTCCAGAAATAATACTAATACCCATGTGCTGAGAAATGATGATAGGAAAATATGAAAAGTCTTTGTTTTCTGTAGCCAGTTCATTCTATTCGTGTACAAACAGAAATCTTTGTAAATTTGGTAAGAACCCAGCAATTCAACATCCAGGGTGTTTGAGGTTCACTGGTGCTGTGGGTTTTGATGGCGTTTGCTGAGCTGGTGCACTGTTGCTTGTTCAATACCAAGGCTCCGGTAAAGTAAAGGTATGATGCAGCATGGCTAGGTACTGGACACACCTCAGCTTTATTATTTGTTTGATTTTGAATCATTGGTGGTCATTGTGTGTTCAGAAATTAATTGTGACCAAGTTTTTGGTGACACTCATGTTTAGTCAGTTTTTCTGTCCTTTTTCTTTATCTTGTGTATTGTTTGCACAGTGAGTAGCTAGGTGTCCGAGGGTAAAGTTAAGAGCATGAGCTCAGGAACTAGGTGCACACTGCAGCCAGGCACGGAGCTAGGTGCACACTGCAGC